TGGATTTGATGTTTCTAGTTTTAGGTCCTAGTTTATATAAATTATTGAGTTGATGTATCTAGTTTTAGATCCTAGTTTAGATAGAATATGGAGTTGATGTGTGTAGTTTTAGGTCCTAGTTGATATAAATTATTGAGTTGATGTAACTAGTTTTAGATCCTGGTTTAGATAGAATATGGAGTTGATGTGTGTAGTTTTAGGTCCTAGTTGATATAGATTATTGAGTTGATGTAACTAGTTTTAGGTCCTAGTTCATATAGATTTTTGAGTTGATGTTTCTAGTTGTAGATCCTGGTTTATGTAGAATATGGCGTTGATGTGTCTAGTTTAAAATCCTGGTTTATGTAGAATATGGTGTTGATGTGCCTAGTTTAAAATCCTGGTTTATGTAGAATATGGTGTTGATGTGTCTAGTTTTAGATCCTAGTTTATATAGAATATGGAGTTGATGTGTCTAGTTTTAGATCCTAGTTTATATAGAATATAGAGTTGATGTATCTAGTTTAAGATCCTGCTTTATATAGAATATGGAGTTGATGTGTCTAGTTTTAGATCCTGGTTTATATAGAATATGGAGTTGATGTTTCTAGTTTAAGATCCTGCTTTATATAGAATATGGAGTTGATGTGTCTAGTTTAAGATCCTAGTTTATATAGAATATGGAGTTGATGTATCTAGTTTTAGATCCTGGTTTATATAGAATATGGAGTTGATGTTTCTAGTTTTAGGTCCTAGTTTATATAAATTATTGAGTTGATGTATCTAGTTTTAGATCCTAGTTTAGATAGAATATGGAGTTGATGTGTGTAGTTTTAGGTCCTAGTTGATATAAATTATTGAGTTGATGTAACTAGTTTTAGATCCTGGTTTAGATAGAATATGGAGTTGATGTGTGTAGTTTTAGGTCCTAGTTGATATAGATTATTGAGTTGATGTAACTAGTTTTAGGTCCTAGTTCATATAGATTTTTGAGTTGATGTTTCTAGTTGTAGATCCTGGTTTATGTAGAATATGGCGTTGATGTGTCTAGTTTAAAATCCTGGTTTATGTAGAATATGGTGTTGATGTGTCTAGTTTTAGATCCTGCTTTATATAGAATATGGAGTTGATGTGTCTAGTTTTAGATCCTAGTTTATATAGAATATGGAGTTGATGTGTCTAGTTTAAAATCCTGGTTTATGTAGAATATAGAGTTGATGTGTCTAGTTTTAGATCCTGCTTTAT